AGTCTTTGGGGTCCTGCAAGGCCTCCTCCAAGAGGCTACGCCAGCAAAGACTTATTTCTGGTGGAGTTTGGGGGAGAGAAAGAAAGACTTCTGCTTCTGCTGCTTCCCTTGCATGAAGCCAAAAGTCTTTCTCTCTCTCTCTCTCTCTCTCTCCCCCTGAGAACGGAGCTGGAGACAGTATCCTTCAATCCCAAATAAAGAATGATTGATCGGTAGGAAAATGGGGTAGGGAATTTTCCTGCAGACTTTTTTGGGGATTTTCCCAGGGTCTCTGGTCCACAGGATTTAAAATTATGAGTTTGGTGGTCCCTGAGGTCCAAAAGGTTGGCGACCCCTGATCTAATCCAACCCCCCACCTACCAAGCAGGATACCCTACACCATTTCTGATAGATAGCAGTCCAGTGTCTTCTTTAAAACTTTCAATGTTGTGGCTCCCACAACTTCTGAAGGCAAGCTGTTCCATTGGTTGATTGTTCTCACTGTCAGAAATTTTTTCCTTATTTCTGGGTTGAATCTCTTGATCAGTTTCCATCCATTATTCCTTTTCTGCCCTTCTGGTGCTTTGGAAAATAGCTTGACCCCTGCTCTGTGACAGCCCTTCAAATGTTAGAATACTGCTATCTTGTCTCCCCTGGCCCTTCTCTTCACTAGACTAGCCATGCCCAGTTCCTGTAACTATTTTTCATATATTTTAGCCTCCAGTCCCCTAATCATCTTTGTTGCTCTTCTCTTAACTCTTTCTAGAGTCTCAACATCTTTTTAATACTGTGGTGATCAAAACTGGATGCAGCATTCTAGGTGTGGTCTTATTAAGGTTTTATACAGTGGTATTAATACTTCGCTTGATCTTGTTTGAATCCCTCTGTTAATGCAATTTAGGATTGCATTAGATTTTTTGGCTGCCGCTGTACACTGTTGGCACAGAATTAATTGGTTGTCCACAGACTCAAATATCCCTCTCACACTTACTGCTATTAAGTCTGGTTTCTCCCAATCTATTCATGTACTTTTGGTTTTTCTTGCTTAAGTCTAAGACTTTACTTTTTTCTACATTGAATTTCATTTTGTTAGTTAGGGCCCAGTATTCAAGCCCATCTGATCTATCATCTAGAGTATTGGCTATTCTTGTCAGTCTAGTATTATCTGCAAATTTGGTAGGTTCCCCTTCTATTCCCTCATCTAAGTTGTTTATGAAGAGTACTAAGCCTAAGATAGAACCTTGTGGTACCCTACCGCTTACTTCCCTCCATGTAGACATTGTACTGTTAAGGACTACTCATTGAGTACAGTTTGTCAGCCATTTAACAAATCCATCTGATGGTGATGCTATCTATCCCACCTTTTTCTAGCTTACCAAGAAGTAGGTTGTGGTCTATTTAATAGAATTCCTTGCTGAAGTCAAAGTATACTATGTCCACAGTGTTTCGCAGGTACACTAATTTAGTCACTATGTCAAAGAATGAAATAAGATTGGCTTGGCATGATCTGTTTTTAACAAACACATGCCGACTTCTAGTTATTTACTAATTTCTAGATGTTTGCAGATCTGTTTCTTGATTATTTTTTCCTGTATCTTCCTGGGTATTGATGTTAGGCTGATTGGTCTGTAGTTTCCTGGGTCTGTTTTTTCTCTGTTTTTGAAGATGGGAACCACTAAAGCTCTTTTCCAGTCCTGTGGTAGTTCCCTGGTGCTCCAAGATTTTTGAAAGATATTGTACAATGGTTCTGAGATGACCTCTGCCAGCTCCTTGAAAACTCTGGGATGTAATCCATCCCGGTGATTTGTGTTCATCATGATCAGAAAGGTGTTCTCTTACTATTTTTTTGCTCATTTTAACTTTTATTTCTAGCCTGTCTTTTACAGTTCTGTTTTTGGTAGGTTGGGCTATAGTTTCTTTTTGTGTGAAGACTGATGCAAAGAATGAGTTAAGCAGCTCTGCTTTCCCTCTACTGAAGAGTCAGGCAAAGGAAAGATTTTCTACATAAATCACCTTTGTTTTGCTCGCTCTCTCTACCCCACAAAGCAGAGAGATTGGACAGGAAGAAATTTCAAGAGAGTATAGTAAGCTAATTGTGTAATGGCTGCCTGCCCTTGGCTTCTGGTATGATTGTATTGCTTACTCTTTTGCAATCCCTATCTGTCCAATATCTCTGCTTTGGGGGTGGGGGAGAGAAAAATGCAGATCAGGCAGTGAACAAGATATAGACGTGACTATGTCGACTATAGTGATCGTATAACTGTTATAACTTCAAATGGTTGCTGACTAAATGGTTGTATTGAGGCCCTCATGTAAAATATGCTCAGGATTAGCAATGAGGCCCTCATGTAAAATATGCTGAGGATTAGCATATTTTATACAGAAAGTAAAAAAAATCCCATTTTCAAATGTCATAGGACAGTAGTTGCCAATCAGTGGGCTGGGGACCACTGGTGATCCGCGAGAAAATGTTGATGGTCCGCAGAGAAATGACATCCCCAAAGCACCCCCCCAAAGCAATCCAGGCTGCATGGGAACAGAAGGCCACATGGCCCGCGGGAACACAAGGCTTGCGTCGCTTGCATTGCGAACAACATGAGATAGTGAGGGGAGGGGGGAAAGGGCGGAGGGGGGGACTTGTTCCACTCACCCCACATGCTTCACCTGGCCACCGGGCTGCTGCTTTCTGCTTCTGGTTTTGGCTGTACACAAGGAAAGCAGCAAAAGTCTTTCTTTCTCTCCCCCAAACTCTGCCAGAAATGAGTCTTTGGGATCCTGCAAGGTATCCTGCTCCAAGAGGCTGCGCCGGCAAAGACTCATTTCTGGCGGAGTTTGGGAGAGAGGAAAAAAAGACTTCTGCTGCTTCCCTTGCATGAAGCCAAAAGTCTTTCTCTCTCTCTCTCTCTCTCTCTCCCCCTGAGAACGGAGCTGGAGACGGTATCCTGCGATCCCAAATAAAGAATGATCGATCGGTAGGAAAACAGGGTGAGGAATTTTCCTGCAGACTTTTGGGGGGATTTTTCCAGGGTCTCTGATGCTTTCTGCAGAGACCGTGGGAAAATGTCAGCAAGCCACCGTCAGTCAAAATTCATATTCGCGGGATTTAAAATTATGAGTTTGGTGGTCCCTGAGGTCCAAAAGGTTGGCGACCCCATCATAGGAGATTTAATTCAGAAGTACCATTACTAGTTGGTTGGTATAACCAGAGTTGTTTTTTTCCCCAGTACTTCAGAAAGTGTTGCCTGTGATATATTTCCATAACACTTTGGATAATATTTTAGGATTCTTGATTATTAATTTCTGTAAATTACCTAAACATTTCAAATGACTCCTTTATTCAGTTTTCCTCTTTCGTCTAAACACAAAGGAAAAAAAATCAACTTGTATCTTAAGCTGTTATCAAAGTTCTCAGATTGATGTATTTATTGAAAGCAGAGTTAAATGAGTGTCAATTCAGACAATAATTGTTTCAATTGAAAAATATTGCATAGTGCTTTGGGAGATAACTGCTGATCTTACCAGTGGTATTGGTTTTTTTAATTATTCTTTTTTTTTCCAGGTTTTCAAACGCATTGTGTACCTGGTCACTTAGATCCAAAATCCAGTATAAGTTCTCTAAATTAAGATGCCTTTCAACATAACGCTAGAATTAACTGAGATGCAAAATATGAAGGTTCCTGAAGATGACAACATTAGCAATGATTCTAATGATTTTACAGAAGTAGAAAATGGACAAATGAATAGGTGAGTAGTTTTCTGTCCCTAAACTGACCATTTGAAAACATTTGTTAAAAATAGTGTTTAAAAAATAACCCAACTTGAAATTGATGAGTGATTCATTGCTGAATCACATCCTGTTCAAAGAGGCAGTTTGAACGTTATAATCAACCCTTTATTGGTGTTCATGTTAAAACCAAGGGGGAAAAAATCAGACTTAATATAAATGTATAGAATATGATGAAGATCGAGATATATAATATCATATTTAAATATGAAATCGGTGTTTCCCAACCTTAGTAACTTGAAAATGTGTGGAGTTCAGCTTGGGGCTCCCATACTAAATTGGAGCTTCTGCAAGCTGACTGAGGAATTCTGGGTCTTGAAGTCTACATATTTAAGCAGCCAAGGTTGAGAAACACTGATCAATTTATTTGGCACTGTTCTGTATTTGCATTCTTGTAATACTGTATTCTGATTGGCTGGGACGCACAGCATTCGGATTGGTTGAGTGTACAGCACTGATTGGCCATTACGAATCAACCGCGATTGGCCTAGCCGATCGCGGGAGATTCGAACGGCTGTCATTGGCTGCGGCGCCTAGTGCAAGTTCTATATAAGCCACCGCCGATCCGAAGCTAGCCAAGCCAATCTACCGCTTAATAAAAAGAGCTTGAAAGTCACTAGTCTCGCCTCTCTCCTTGGGACCTATCCACCAACTTAACACTGGCGACGAAGGTGGGATCGTGAGACAAAGACCCACCACGCACGTGGCACCGCGGCACAAGCGACCGACAAGATGGCCAGCAGCATCGCGCCACCCGCACCCTTCAACCAGGCTGCAGAGGACTGGGAATCCTACATCGACAGATTCCTCATGTTCCTGGAGAGCAGCAACCTTAAGGACGCAAATGGACAGAAAAAAAGGGCCGTGTTCCTGACACACTGCGGGCCTGCAGTGTTGAAGATGGCGAAAGCCCTCGCCAAACCCGAGGATGTGAAGGCAATGGACTGGGCCGACCTCGAACCACTGTTGCGGAGCCACTATGCACCCGCCGTACCCACCCTCATCAGACGGCACGATTTCTATCGAAGGGACCAGAAGGAGGGTGAGAGCATCAGCGACTTTGTGGCTGATCTACAGGACCTCGGGGGCATGTGCGGATTCACCGACATGGATGAAGCCCTGCGAGACCGTGTCGTCCTTGGACTCAAAGACCCAGTCCTGCAGAGCCGGCTAATGGCAAAGGGCGACATCTCCCTCACCGACGCCCTCGCCGAGGCGACTGCAGCGGAGGCGACCAAGAAATCGGCGGCTCGGATGCGACAGATGAGCGCAGCGGACCGGCTGGCGACCACCGATGCGACCCTGATCCCGGAGAAGCACTCCAAACCCAGCCGCCGAGCAACCACCACCACCCATCATGGCGACCTCAACTCCCTCTCCGACACCGAGGACGAAGAGGAGGACATCCACCGACTCCAGGCGGAACGAGATCGGCGCGAGCGGCGAGGTTGTAAGTCGGGGTTTCAGTGCGCCGGGTGTGGGGGTGACCATCCACGGTCAGAATGCCGGTTCCTCGATGCAATCTGCCGACATTGCGACAAGCGGGGCCACATCGCCAAGGTGTGCCGATTCAAGCGGAACCACACACCCCGGCTACGAGACGGCAGCCCCCAGAGGCAAGATGGCACCCCCCCCAGAACCAGAGACCGGTACGCCGAGAGCCGATGGAGCCGGGACGGAAGGAACAGACGTCTCAACAAGGCCCGACAACGAGAAGAAACCCACCAAACAGTTGTCATCGGCCACTCTTCAAACTGGGATGCCCGGAAAGTATGCGTGGAGGTAGGCATTGAAGACCAGCCATGCAAAATGGAGGTGGTTTCCGGATCCTACCTCTCCATGGTTGCGTGGCGGGAAATCAAGCGCCTGGTGCCTACCATCCACAGGCGCGAACTGGAAAGCCAGAAACTCATCCTCAAAGACTACCAGGGAAACCGCATTCCCGTGGTCGGAATAGGACACTTTAAGATTACATTTAAAGGGCGCACCGAGATACTTCCCCTGACTATTGTGGACCAAGACCGCCCCAGCCTCTTGGGACTGCAATGGTTCGCGCCATTGGGAATAGAGGTGACGGGCATCAACCACGTCGTCGAGGCGGACTGGGAGGAGCAACTCGCGAAGGACTTCCAGGAGGTCTTCGACAGCAGCCTAGGCAAGTACCGAGGGGCCCCAATATCCTTCAGCCTAGACCCTAACATTGCCCCAATCCGCCTGAAACCCCGGCGAGTGCCCTTCGCACTCAGACCCAAGATCGATGAGCAGTTAGACAAGCTCATCGAGCAAGGGGTACTCGAGCCAACAGACCATGCCAGGTGGGAAACCCCTATAGTCACCCCGGTCAAACCAGATGGGTCGGTGAGAATCTGCGGTGACTACAAGGCCACCCTCAATCGCGCTCTGCAACAGAGTGCTTACCCCGTCCCAGTGGTATAGCACCTTCTGCACTCACTGGGGGGAGGCGAGGTTTTCGCAAAACTCGACCTGGCACAGGCCTATCAGCAATTGCCGGTCGATGCAGAAACCGCAGAGGCGCAAACCATAGTCACCCACCAGGGGGCTTTCTGCTGCAAGAGACTCCAGTTTGGAGTCAGCGTAGCACCGGGGGTCTTCCAAAGCCTCATGGAGAGGCTACTCCAAGGGATTAAGGGGGTAGTGCCCTATTTTGATGACGTGCTGGTGTCAGCGACCGATCAGAAACAATTAGAAAGCCACCTAAGGGAGGTACTAAAAAAATTCAAAGACTCGGGGCTGAAAGTCAAAAAAGAAAAATGTCAGCTGTGCACCGAGAAAGTTGAATTCCTAGTGTACCTCCTAGACCAGCACGGAATCCACCCAACGGTAAAAAAAATCAGGGCCATCAAAGAAGCCCCTAGACCAAGAAATAAAACCAAACTGCAGGCATTTCTTGGACTGATTAACTTCTATAATGTTTTCCTGCCCCAAAAGGTGACCGCGGCGGAACCGTTGCATAGGCTGTTGGACAAAACAGCCACCTGGAACTGGGGAAGGCAAGAGGAAAATGCATTCAACCGGACAAAAGACCTACTCACATTGGACGCTGTCCTCATCCAATACAGCGAGACCCTACCACTAGCGGTCACTTGCGACGCATCACCCTTCGGCGTCGGGGCCATCCTCAGCCACACTCTTCCGGATGGAAAAGAGGCACCCATTGCATTCTTTTCAAGAACCCTCTCAAAACCGGAAAGGAATTACAGCCAGCTGGACAAGGAGGCCCTGGCAATCATCGCCGCCGTAAAGAGGTTCCACGGGTACCTCTACGGCAGAACCTTTACCATCATCACCGACCACAAGCCGCTGCTAGGGATTCTGGCAGGGAACAAGGCCACCCCGAACATTCTATCCCCGAGAATGACAAGGTGGTCCGAATTCCTTGCCGCCTACAGTTACCGGCTAACCCATTGACCCGGTAAGACAATTTCACATGCAGACGCCTTGAGCCGCACTCCTTTGCCTTACCTGGACGCCGGCCCGGCACCCACAATGTCCACCCTGAGCATAGAGACCTTACCCAATCTCCCCGTGACCGCGTCAGACATTGCCTGCGAAACTAATAAAGACAAACGTCTGGCGCGGGTCTTAAATTGGGTAGAGAAAGGGTGGCCGGAAAAAGACGACGACGGAACAATTCAGGACCTTTCGAAGCCGACAAACAGAACTTTTCACACAAAAGGGTTGTTTACTGTGGGGGGACAGGGTTGTTATCCTGGAAAAATTACAGAAAAGGGTCTTGGAATTGTTGCATGATGGACACCCCGGCATCGTTAGGACTAAAGCCCTGGCCAGGAGTTACGCCTGGTGGCCAGGGATGGACAAGCAAATCGAAGCTTGGGTGGCAACATGCAGGCAATGCCAAGAATCCAGGCCGAGCCCTCCTGCCGCCCCAATCCTGGAATGGGAAACCCCCAGAGGGCCATGGTCCAGGATTCACATAGACTTCGCCGGACCTACAAAGGGACACACCTTCCTCATAATGGTAGACGCTTACTCCAACTGGTTGGAAGTAAGCAACATGAGAACTACCACCTAGAGGGAGCTACAGCGAAAGGCCTGACTCCCTTCCAGGCGATGAGGCAGAGAGCAACACAGAATCCAACCGAACTGGTCGGAGATCAAGCAACAACTAACCTGAGCAGGTCCAGTAGATAAGTATGGAGCCCCGCCTACTTACGGGACTACGTCACGGACTATACCAAGAGGGGAGGGGTGTTCTGTATTTGCGTTCTTGTAATACTGTATTCTGATTAGCTGGGATGCACAGCATTCGAATTGGTTGAGTGTACAGCACTGATTGGCCGTTACGAATCAACCGCGATTGGCCTAGCCGATCGCGGGAGATTCGAACGGCTGTCATTGGCTGCGGCGCCTAGTGCAAGTTCTATATAAGCCGCCGCCAATCCGAAGCTAGCCAATCCGCTTAATAAAATACCGCTTAATAAAAAGAGCTTGAAAGTCACTAGTCTCGCGTCTCTCCTTGGGACCGATCCACCAACTTAACAGGCACTTTCCATGGTTGATCAACTACAGATTTGGTATATCTGCTTTTTACATTGTGTTACATTATATTTTTTTCAAAAGTAATGTAAAACCTATAAACATAAGAGAAAAGACCACATTATGACAATATTTCTAGAACTATATTTTGGGAATACAGAAAAGATGGCATGCTTTAAGATTTGGGACAATTCTTGCAGTATATTGAAAATAAGGGTATCTTGCCAAGATTGCTATTTTTGTTCCAAACAATTCCAATAAAGCTGGAAAAAAATATTTTGCGGAGTTAAATAAAATAATGTCAAAATATATTTGGCAAGGGAAAAAAGCAAGAATATGTTTGAAAATATTACGATATTCTAAAAACAAAAGTGGGGTTGGGTTGCCCCACTGGGAGCTATACTACCAGGCCTCTGTACTTACATGGGTGAAATAATAGATA